AAATTTTTAAAATCGGACAATAACCACGTCCACATCCTATATAACGGTAATTTGGAGAAATACGAAATCTTCGATAAATCAGTAAATATTAAAGCTAATTTATTCAAAATTGATGCTTGCAACAATTCTTTACCAGGAAATACGCTAATGATAAAATATTGGAAAATGGGCGTGGCACCGCCCACTTATGATCACATATATGTATCTCGGTAACCGTTCTACCAATTTGTACCAAACTCGGTATGTTTATTGTGCTTGCCACATAAAAGCAAAACCTTGAAATCGGAATAAAATTCAGGCCGCTTTTCATATAATGGTAAATTTCAGAAATGCTTGAAACTTCAATATTTCGATATTCAAGGACGCTAATTTACTCAAATTTGATACAGCCCGGCTTACCATGTAGCGGTATCTTTGGGAAAGGTGAAAACCATGGCGCATATTCATAGTCATATTTAGTACTCAACTAAGTCGAAACTATTCTAAGTCACAACTAAAGCTATTCATAGTCGCCTTAGTTTCGACTTTTCTGGCTAAGTACCAACTTAAAATTAAGTTTCGGCTGCAGCTGCAACTAAGTCGTAACTAAGAAGAAGTATTTTGTCAAATTAAAGGAAAACAGACGAAATATGTAAAAATTAAGTTGGTAGAGGGTGATTTTGATAATATTGAATAATCTCCCATTAAAATTTACAAAGATCGATCCATTTTAATCGGAAGATGAAATGAAATGCGTATTACAATTCGAATAAAGCTACATCACAATTTTATAATTGGAATAATTTATATAAATTCTCAAATAAAATAAAAGTTGCAACTTTGTTAGTTTCGACTTAGTTGCTGGACTATGAATACGCGCCCATATATTTAATACTTGCGCCGGGTATTTAATGTTCGGCTCACGCCTGAACTTAGACTTTCTTACTTGTTTTTTTTCATTTATGTAAGAGATGAATTTTTAAACTAAGAAAGACGGATATATATACATATATGTATTGAATGTACCTTACGTTTTCATACATACTTACTGTAAAAGTGTTGAGGCTGTTAACTTATCTATTAACGATTTAACTATAGTTTAAAATATATATGTTTACGGCCCTTAATATGCTTAATTTGTTAAATGGCCCATCAAGTCGATTGACCATGTATGTTCTTGTGGTGTGATTGTACCAGCTGCTGGTGCGACTTCAAAAACTATTTAAAAATTTTATGATTGTACCTGCATGGTGGTGTCGTGAGTGGTGAAATTATCTAAATTTTCTAAGTAAAAAGTATTTCAGCGTAAATTTCTTGCACTATGTGAGTCAAAGCCGTGTGTGTGGAGGATTTAGTTCCCGATATTAGTTGTGAATTAGTTAGTTGTGAATTAAAAAAAAAAAAAATTGTTTAAGCGACTTACGCAACGCTGTGCTACATTGAACCCCACATGCAGCCCTGCGTGAACATCGTTTTCGAACTTCCAGTGTTTAGTTTCGCTTCGTATAAAATGCGGTGAGCGCACTTAATTCTCCCTTTTTCTTTTTCTTCCGAGAATCCAGCGCAATCAACAACGGAGTTAACCATCAGCATGAGCCACTACTACTCGCCATCTACAGCGTTATTAATTCAGTCTACTTATTTGATCAATTTAATCATTTCAATTTTCATTTCAATTAATTGTCATTCCACTCAATCTACGATATAAGCCATTTAAATACCTTTTCATATGCGGTGTAAATCGCCAAACTATCTATTTACCTTGTATTAGTGTAAAAATACAACTTGTAATTGAATTCAGTTAACTCACAATAAATATTGTTATCATAAAAGTTGAATATGGTCCTTGCAAGCCGAATTAGGCAGCACCGGAACACACTTAATCATTATATTGCATATTGGCAACACAACCTTCGAAAAGGAATTCGAAATAATAAAATCGTTTCTCAACACTAGTCGCGACTACCATTTGCATTTCTGATTTGACAGCGAAGCGAACGGCAGCAATTCCCTGCAGCAACAACTTAAAAAGTTTAATCGTGCGAACTATAATAATTTTCAGTCAGTATCGTGTAAAATATAAAGTTGGTAAGTTAAAATACCGCAAAACCAAAGTGCTACCAAATTATCGCTACCCAACGTGGGACGTCAGACTGCAAATCTGCCTAAAACATACCTACGCATATTAAAAAGGCACAGAAGTACACGCGCCATACATACATCCATTGCGCCCAGCGTGGGATCTACAAAACGTAACACCGGGGAACCGCATTCCGTTGCTGTGCGAAGGCGCTATTCCCGTATATACAAACATACATCAGCGCCCGCCGAGGGACTCTCAACAAGCATCTCCAAAAGATCAGGGTGACCGGCCAGCGCGGGACAAAAAACGATGAGTACCGAAAAACGTACAGTGTAAGTCTCCGTTATTTTCAAAGAAAAGCTTTAAAACCCGTTACTCCAACGGCATTAATGCGTATGCATATATGTACTTACATACATACCATGAACGAAAGACACAAGATCACGTAAGAACAAGAGAGTGAAAAAAGTCGATTTTTTTAGCGGGTTCTACGCCATCTTGTTTCACTGGAAAACGAGCGAAAAGTAAACAAAGCAAAGAAAACAACGAAAACCAAAATTAGCCAAAATTATTGTCAGCCACTTTAAGCGCACAATTTAGGTAAAATGATGCAATAAAATGCTTGAAAATGTGTTGTCATGTTGAATTAACTCTTCTTTACTTAAATAAAAGTGTAAAATAGTGGTGCTTGTGATGTAAACAAACGCTCAGCTGACGAACCCGCTTTCGCAAACTTTTTTCTCAAAACCAGTTACAAATACAACGTCGCGTTCTTACGTGATCTTGTATTTTTGGTTCATGCATACATACAAAAAGTTACTCGTTGAAATAATTGCTCGTTGAGAGATCTTACTCGCTTTGAACGTTTCATTTGTATGTATTAATGTATATGCATACTTACATACATATGTAGCTATTCTGCGGGATTCGTTTTTATTGCCTACAAAAGGGTTGAATACTCATTTCAGTTTATGCTTATGTTAAAATTCGCATCTATGTATTTTTACGCATTCTTTGCAAGTACACCGCTTGCGCCGGCATAAAAACCAACAACTTTATCACCTTCTCGATTTTATCACTTTACATTTGTTGTAAAATTTGTAGCGCTTTAGTAGTTAGTCTGTTCCAATAGCAGTCCGGTTTACAGGATTTAGTCAGAACTTACAGCAAGTCGTTCCTATTGACATAAAACCTGTAAGTGGGAACACATTTGAGAGAGTAACTGAGCAACTGTTCCTAGTCAGAAGTTACAGGATTTAGTCCGGAGATTTTTTTCCTGTAAGTTCATGAAAAGTGTCAAACGATCAGCTGATTTACATGTGCAAACAAAAACAGAAAGCGGTGAAAGCAAAGAACCTTATATTTGTTATAAAATGGAAGTAAACAACGAAATATTTAAATATGTATAGATTTTATTAATTATTTAGTGATATTTCAGCCAAATCAGTGTAGTGCCAATGACATGTAAACAAACCGTCTGACGTTTTTACAGGAAATAGTGCTTTTTGCGTTCCTATGCACTTCTGCATCTGTTCTCCTTTTACTCTCATTTGAGAGCGTAAAATTGTAGTTTGACAGTTCCACAGGTTTTAGTCCGAAGTTCAAAGGAACAGACTAAGTATATTCCGAATACTACATACGCATATACATAGGTACATATGTATGTTCATTTAGTTCAACTAGCCCATTTAAATTGAGTTTATCAAAAGCTCTTGTGAATTAGTGAAACGTGAAAGTGAACAAATCGCACTGCTTGAATCGGCTAAATAGCCAAAGGTTTGCGCGTCTACATATGTATGTACATATGTGTGTTATTATTGCCAATCATTGACCGAAGACACCTCAGTGGAGAACATAGTGTCCAAAATTTTGCAAGCGTGTCATCATTACACTGATCCATACAATAAAACATTCCGTAAATCATATCATCATTTGGGGTGTTCACAGTTCGTTCCAAATAGTGTCTCAAAATGTAGACGTCTACATTTTAAGACGTTTTCTAACCGTAAAATCTGTGGTGTTGTTGTTTCCCATACAAAATTGGAAAACGACGCCGTCTACATTTTGTCACACTCAAAGGTATGTTTTTTACGCGTCTACATTTTGCAACCTCGCAGCAGGGTTGCATTATGGCAATACTAATCACATTTTTTTTATTTATTGGGCACGTTTTCCGTATTTGCATTTAATTTGAGCGCAATTTCTGATGAAAAGAAACAAATCAAGGAAAAAGAATAACAAATATTACGAATTGGTAATTAAGTTAAATAATTACAATTTTTCAGAAACAAAATCGAAAGGCGACATATAAACAATGCACGCAAACAAGAAATGTCTGGCAACACCAGCAAAGTTTTGAGACGATTTTGCGACGACTGCTAGAAAGGGGGGAATTTGGAACGAACTGTGAACACCCCAATTGTTTTCATAGTTTGCAAGTGGTGGGTTTATATGCATACATACATGTATGTACGTACGTACTTTTCGCTACACAAAATAGTTTCTTTGTATTTCTTTTGCTGCGCTTTGTGTTCGCTGGGCAACTTCGGTTGGCGCCAGTTCTCGAAATCCTCATTCACCCCTATTCTACGATTTACAAGCATACATACATACCCATGTGTATGTACATATGTACACGCCTTGTTCTTGCGTAAAATTTACACTTCATACATCTCTTCAACCTGCTGTTGCACCAGATCATTTTTCGGTTGGCTTTGTTCCAGTTTTATTGGCATTTACGTCTGAATTTCTTCATTTCGCATTTAATTGTGGCACGTACTTACCTACATACATATGTACGTGTCCTAGCGCGTGGATTTCGTGAGCGCAATAATCGGAAAGACATCTACTTTTTCCAATAAGAATTCCGGTGAAACGACATATCACTCACTACCAAGAATGATGGAATACAAGATTGCGCCGTCCTGGGCGTTGACATTTGTGTACCACAAGTAAACAAAGAATAGAGCGAAAAGAAGAACGAGTTGAAACATCCAAAGCAGTTCACTTTACTGCGAAAAACGTGTTTTAATTTTGCTAAATGCGAAAATATTGCATTTTTCACCTAATCTATTAGAGAACAGTGAACATTGTAGTGCACTCCATTTCTTTGCAATAGAGGCTGCTTCAGCAAACGTTTTAGTGCACTCCATTGCTTTGCAATCGTGAAGCAGTTTTATCTGGAAGCGTAAAGTTACTCGCGTTTAGTTTAAGCGTTTATAACATAGCGATTTTTTGAATTGAATCGGTCGTGGTTTCATTTGAAGCAATAAATCGAAGTAAAGGAGGTTCTGTGCATTAGCTTGGTTGTTTGTGCCCGACCCGTGTCGCCGTCTACAATTTTTTGCCGTTGAGGTTGCCTGCTGCAAACCAGCTACATCCGTCATCGTATCACCACCACGCTAGTCAGCAAGTAACACCTAGCCATCTTCGCTCCGCCCTTGGCACCGTTCCACCATTGTCGTCGCAAGAGTCCTTGCCACCGGCTTCGTCAACCCCCTGCATCCACCAGTCGGAAGAGTCCCATCATTACAGTCAGGAAGCCTTGTGCGCTTCCATTTGGTCCTTCGTCGCCATAATTCCAGCCAGCGATAGCAGCCCGCCCGTGCACAAATTTAAGCTTCCATTTGGACCCAAGCAAATACATAAGTACCAAAGCACTTAAGCCGTAAGTAGGCATTGATTTTTCCCTAACCCTATTTGCGTAGACCAATACTCAGACTTAAAAGCCTGAAAAATTTATATCTACATACATAAGTGCAATATTTGTTGAAAATTTTCGTGCTTTCTAGAAATCAAACGGCAATTTCTTATACATATGCACATACATAATTAAAAGAATAGAGAAAAATTAGTATGCATACATATGTACATTAAATTTTCCCGCGCTAATTGCAAACGGTCCCATTTATATACTTCCGCATAGACATAATCGCATGTACATATATACTTGCTGTTTCTCTCTCGCCTCTCAGTTGCAAATACATATGCACACATATAATTACATTTATATATAATTATACCATATATGTAAATACTTGCTAAATATAATCCGAAACGCTACAAAACCGTTTTGAAGCAAAACAAATTAAAAGCATTAAAAAGCTTCTCATGTACAACATTCCACAAATATTGCATTTCCCCCATTGCCTATATATTATAAATACATACAAAGCGGGCACAGTGGTATCGAATACTTTTTACCGTGAAAAAAAAAAATATATATATACATATAATTTTGATCTCTCGGTTTTCCCGGAATTTAAAGAAAGTTAATTAGGCCAAACCACTAAAAAAAAAAAAATTTTACTTCATTTTCTCGAATATTTTATTATTAATTATATTTAGTGATTACACCTATTTATATTACTCACTGCTTTAATTCACACATTTAAAGCTCTCTGAGACGATCGCCTTTGTGGAATTGTATCATTCTCTGTGGATTCGCCACACTCCACACATCATCTTCCATATTCTCGCCCTCAATCAAGCCCCCCCCCCCCGAAAAACCAATTGCTTAAAATCCTTTTCTCTCCAATTTCCCTCAATCTCGATCACGTCAACTTACAACTTTTCGAATGTTAAGTGTACCAAATACTGACGAAAAGTCAAAAAGCCCCAAAATGAGTGACGAGGAAAAATCACAAGGTACTTCCACGGATCCTTAACGCTTAACGCGTGCAAGTGGAAAGTCATCCAAGAAAGCAAAGCAATCGTTTGCCGCAAGTAAGTTCATCTCTGAAACGGATAACTTTATGGACTACTGTACGCGGTTTAGGTCCACTCAAATACAAGACAACACGGAGTCGGCCTTAAAAATAAAAGACAGTAATATCGATAATTTTTGGAATCGAGTCCAAAATACATACGATGCGATCGTAGAGACTGAGGACCACGACCTGCCCGAAGACTTCAAGCCATCTGCTTATAATAAATACAGGTCCTGTCTCATAACTTATGAGGACACAAAAGCCCAAATCGGAGACCAGCTTCAACTTCTCAAAATGAGCAATACCTCACCTACTCTCACTGTAGCGCAACCCAAAGACGAAGGTGGCATTGATCTAAAAGTGCCACCCTGCGATACCGAAGTTTTTTATGGGGGTTATGAACAAATGTCTCAAATGAACCAATTCTTAACTACTCGGTACGAGGTGGTCGAACGGGTTGATCAGTGGCGTCCAGCCAAATCAAAACCCACCTCTCAAAATAATAACCACTTCTCTAGGCCACCTCCTTCTCATAACATACCCCATTTTAAACCAGCCCATTCACAAAACACCCATAATAAATCTCTGTCACAAATCCATTCTCATATGACAGAACAGCGAAC